GGAACATAAAAGCTCACATGAAAAATTCAGTTAGTCTGATAGATAGTTTCGACAAGAAGTAAAAGAAGCTGTTCATATAAGGAGAGTGAGAGAAGTGCTCTTTGAGCAGATAAAGCATGAATAAGCGAAAAAAAAAACAGAAGGAGTGCAAGGGTACAGTACAAAAGTGGTAAGAAGAACGAGGGAAGACAACTAGTTCACTTTTAGAGACAAGGCGATGCTTTCGTTTCGAAGCTGGCGAGTTTCAAAGGAAAATGACTGTTCTGCAGAACTTGACGCTGACGAAAGAAGTGGCTACAGCGAAGACTTGGCGTTTTCGAGGCGAATCATGCTATGCTCACCTCTAGTGGACGAGACAGTAAAATAAAAAGGCCTGTCAGCTGCGAATGCCACTAGACCCCAAATGGTTCTGAAAAGAGTGACTAGGTGATTTTTCAATTTTCGTTCATAGACGATTCAGCATTTTATTTCGTATAATGGCCCATGGAATACTGTTACAGACGTACCCTAAGGCTCCTATGCAAACTTCTCAAGTGAAACTTCTGCACACTCGATATCCTAAATAAGTGTCCTTCTTTTGAGGTGAGAAAATACATGTCTCATGTTCAATAACTGGTCTGACATACACTTTGTAAATCCTGATCAAAATGGACTCTTCAGCAGTGAGTGCCTGTGTGCCTTAGGTAAATGAAAAGCCTTTGTTCGGCCTCTTCCAAGGCAATGGGAGTCAAAGCTGAGGCTACTATCAACGTGAAGCCGGGGTCCCTTGCTTTAAAAGCTCCCTCATTAGGAGATCACGAAACATATCACCTGTTGTTAAAATTATTTTTACCTAAGGACAGTGTTTTGTTGTTCCCGAAACAGACAGGAAAACCCCAACTGACAGACCAACCATGGGCAATACCAACTGTCTTTTGAATAGCAGAGGAATCGTCAGAAGACGTAATTGCTTTATGGATCTTAGTATCATCGGCGAACATCTGACAGGTGACCCCCTGGCTTTGAACATAAAGGGTAAATCAAATGTGTAAAAGAATGTTTGACAAAAGAGGAGGCAACACCCAGTCTTGCGGAAAGCCGCTCGCAGCGTGTCTGACCGTAGAGAAGTTCTCACTGAGATGTGGTGATGAGGCTAGAAAAGCATTAACCTACCAGATAATGCTACTGTGGATGCCCGCATACTCGGATCTACGCACCATAGGACAGAAGTTATATTATCGGCGTGTATTCTCAGGTCTATTTGTTATAATGAGACTTTTAGGGAGCGAAGAGACATAATAGTGCTTCCATCTCGGAGGAACCTCATCGTAAATCGTACTTTTAACAACAGTTTCAGGGAAGCGCACATGTACAGATAACATTCTTTATGAAATGAAAGGGGATGTCATCCGGATACAAGAAAGAAGGTCATTTGAGAAGATAATTGAGAATGTGCTGACGCTTGATAACATCGAATCATCTAGACATGAACAAAAATGAGGATCTGAACAGGCAACTTCATGAAGAACATAATCGTTTTGTAACTCATTGGTTAACTTTCTGCTTCCTCGTTATCACTGACGGCTAGAGAACCGTCAGCCCTGATAAGAGTAGCAAATCTGTTTTTACAATGAACTCTAACATTGATAAACTTGAATAGAGAGGGCTTGTCACGTAATTTGACAATTTTTCCCTCAATTGCACCGTTTTACGAACATTTTGTCGAACTTCGAGGGTGAAACCGATAGGATTCAAAATTATGCAAATCATCACGTTTCATAGCATTTTCATAGGCAAAAGTTTCGAAATGAGGAGGCAATTTCTCCATACGTTTCATCTGTATCCCTACAGCAGCAAAACGACCCTATCCAGTCAACATTTGACAGATATGAAAATTTCCAAGTACTCGCAATACCCATATTCTCTTTTGGGGACGAGTTTCTGGTCCATTACTGAAAGTCTAAGATTGTTACATGATCGCTGCTGCCAACCAACTGATCACATTTGTGAGTAAGAACAAGACCCAAAGGCTTTCAGGCGCTTTTATGGCGCCAGATTGCGTCGGAGCCAAAAATAAGAGTAGAATCTGGATCAGAACCGTCGATTACCCCTACTGGCAAATCTTGAAGTTTCGTTAAACGGAATGCCGTTTCCTTTTCGAGCAGATTTCGCAGCGCTCTTTCATTTTTCGGGTATTACATGATATAAAGCTAGAGATATATCGCGGTATATGATGTTCTCGAATCTTTTTCATCTCTACTCTCGTCGGCACTTAATAATGCTCAAGGAGAATGCTGTAGAGTCGCTGCTACTTTTTTATTGGTTCGGCCTCCTTGGCAAACATTTTCGGTAACAGATGTGAGGAAGTGTTACAGCGTGGCAGTACCGCAGGATAAAACATCGTTTGTAAAGGCCAGTTCTACCCTGTCAGCCCCAAGAAATTCTACCTACTCGCTGCCAGCCCGTTCCGTGAAGACACACGGACTACGTCGTTTGACAACATTCCCATTCCCTTGTGGTATCCTATTTTGAACTGCTCTGAAGTTTTTACACAATCGAGCGCCAACGACTGAAGCGGTAGTATGACTTGAGGCACAGCGGATGGCGGACAAATAGTTGAATGATGAGCCAATTCGCACAGTCTGACCACAACAATTGATGTCCTTCATGAATGACTTCAAATTAGTCTTAGGTGAAGGGAAATAGAGCGGGAAAGAGGAAGACAGGCGACATGCGGAAGACAGTCTCTAAGGCCACGCGACGTCGCGTCGCAATCTGCAAACACCGTGGGCTTGCAATGGAGCGCACACCGCGATAGTTCATTGCATTATTGCATTAGTTCATGTTCGCTTCAGGTATCAGCCACGCTCTCCGCCCTAGTAGGATCTGGACTGTCATGATCGTTAGATTTTGTTTCTTTCGCATAACTAGGACGGTTACATCGCAATTATACCTGCATGGACGCTGCTCTCTAGTTAATTCAGCTTACCTGCTGATCCGTAACCACTCGACTGTCACAAAGCTTTGTGGGCAGCACACTCTCAGAGACTAAATTTGTTGTCGTATTGCACTGTATTGTTGTGTATAATTTGTCGTATTGGGGTACGACGGCTTTTCCTGTTAAAAAAAATAGAGAATGAAACGAAATGCCACTGCCGCCATTAAAAAACCATAGCGAGCGCACGCCGATCGTAACCTTGTCGCGCACAATGCCGTGATGTTACCGTCACACACCAGTCATGTGTCATAGAGTAGCAATCATCTCAGCTTTTCTTCTATGAGCTTTTCTTCTTACTGTTTTTTACTTCCTCATGATCATAATATGACGCTAGTAATGCTAAGGGCGACAAGGCGCTTGGTGGGATAGTGTGCAATTCTGAAGTTGTAGCTGTGTTTAGTTTCCTTGAGAACCATCAAAGGGTCGAGACCTTGCCCGAACAATGCTGCCTTCTTCCCAATAACCTCGCAGGAGTATCGAAACAGAATGTACTATACAATGAAGATGCTTCAAGGAGAAGGTGAGGGGAGGAAATCTGCTTTTTTATTTTGTGATATTTCGTGCCGCCAAAATACGGGTGTATATGTGGGTTGAGAATTTGAGTGGCGCACAAAACAGGATCGCTGCTGTGTGATCCATTTTCACTCATAAATCAGCTTCAGTGATTGCAGAGAAACAGCATCAATAAGCGGTACAGTTTGTAGACAGCATCTTCACATATATTATGTACGAATCCATCAAATGAGTTTTGAAATCAGTAGCCGTTTCGACTATCCTTCAGAATGAAGGACAAATGAACTTTCGTTCACAACCTATTTCATATTCTAGACACAAAGAATACTGCTAATAGCTCGAACCGACGAGAGAGCGGAAATTTCAGCGCTCGCGGAGAAGCAAATCCAGCATGGCTATCCCTTAACCCTAGTCGCTTACCGTGGTAGACTAACGAAGTCTTGTGTGTCAATCATGCGAATCCTCGCCACCTTCTTCACTGCGCCATTACACCATAACCAATTGCGAGAGGATATGATGAGTATACTAGCGCGACCCGTTATGCATTATCACGCAAGTCTTGCGCTGAATTATAGACACGATGCACACCGAACATAATGTTCTAGTGCATAGCACACCACTGCTGAGCAAAAACACTGGACAGCTACATGTTTGCCCCAATCACCAGAGGCACATCAGAGGAAAGGAGCATGATAGTTTTATCTCTGGCAGAATACTGAAGTGGAGGCGCTCAATAGAACGACAGTGAGCATAAATAGAGGCAAATTGGCAGAAACTCACAAGATAAGTTCCTTATCTATCGCTCCGAAGGGAAACAACCCGGCGATTGCAATATGATTGTAAAAGGAACTTTATTTCGAGTGAGGACAATCCTCAAAAAATGTCAGAAAGTTTCCCTCACAAAAATGAGATGAGGGATGAAGACAAAAATAACAAAGTAGAAAAACATCAAACTGCAAAAAAGGATAACACCCACTGGGAAAGCATCGCGATGTGCATGAAAAAATATTTCCGTTACCAATATTGACTTTACTCTCCAGAAAGGACAAGCCGCACACCGAAAAATAGTCACAACGCTACCTGCCTGCTCCTTCTGACATCTGGTTGTTCTCAAATGCTGAGCGCGTGCTTCGCTGCGGACCATAGAAACAAGATGTGCTGCACTTGAGGATAGCGCGGGTGAACTACGGTGATTGTCCCGGGTACCACTGATCTACAGCCCCGCCTAATTGCTCTTTTGACCAGAGAAAATGGCACACTATTGACCGCTGCACCCATCCCCTTGCACACGACAAGCACCATCCTCGGACGTGAGTGTACAATTTGCCTTCGAGCTGACTTGGGCTTTGAGATCGCCATTTCAGACAAATACTCCCTTCTCTGAGAGAGACCAGAGAAAAATGGAACATCGACTCCGATGTCAAAAAGAGATCCGAATAGCAATATAAAGCCCATTCCGAGCGCTCAGGGAAGTGAAAGGCTGCACATAACAAACAAGGAGTGCCTGGAATTAGTTACCATCTGAGCACTGATTGTGGACGTAATACTTAACGATATCTTCAATCTCGAGATGTTCCTCATGGTAGATATCTCTGCAGAGCCTGCATAATGCATCACTTCTATAGGTAGATGGAATACGGTAGTCCTTGGTCCATTCAAAGTATCTGAAACCGAAGCAGGGAATTACGTTCGGCAAGCAGCGTTTTTGAATGGTTGCATCAACTGTGGTAGAACGTACTTCAGATACGCAGTGTTGTTCCTGCGCAGGAAATTTAAATAATCGCCCAATTCCTTGGTACTGTTGAAATCGTCAAGAGCAATGAATGAGTTGGACGGGATGTCAGTGCCTGAAACCTTCCTTCAAAAGACATGGCATGATTCTGTTTTGAATCACAACAACTGTTGAAAGTGAAATATTATTTTGTATTGGTTGCCACGTGATGTTCTTGGAAAGTGGACATTTTCCATAAGTCTTCTCTCAGACAGCGTTCACGACATCGCGCGTTAGGGATTACAAGCAAGCACCAATTCCACGGTACCCCAGTTGCTTTCCTTCAATATTATACATTTTTCTTTGTTTCACACTTCTACTCCATCTTGAGCTTCCCTCTCTGACTTGGATTCAGTCTCGAAGTGATTACTCGCATTTGATATATGTACACCCCATATTGTTCTCACTTACCAGATTATAAATTTGTTTTCATTGCATTTTATTTTATGAGGTGAAACATTCATGATAAAACATTAATCACGAATAACCATCCTAAGACTGAGAGTTGAAGTCAAAAACAGCATCACTGTATCAGTCCACGCTGCATAATGGTAATAGCCCTATGATTATAACATCAAGAAAATAGCGACAATACCGGTTCCTTTCGAATGTATTACTCAGGATACTGCCAAAACTTGGAGTCTCTTCGCGTCACAGTATCAACTGAGATGTCTGGCTCCATGGCGAGCCGTCGACAGGACGTCCAAAACAGTATTAAATGAAATCACAGCATCCACTATCAATAATTACTTCGAGGTTTAACGTGCAAGTCAGAAATGGAAGCTCAAGATGAAGTAGAAATGGAAAACGAAGAAAAAAAAGGTGAGATGTTAAATTAAAGCGTTCAACCGATTCGTCCTTTTCAAGGCCTTAGATAAAAAGAGATCCCAGGATAGAATTTGGTAAGGGCTTTGATCCTGAATCGTGTCTGGTACAGAGAATACTAACAACAACAAGAACTAGGATGACAGGTTAGATAAGACTTAACTCCATAAAACAATGAAGACGCTGATGCTGAAAGACAAAACAACGTTGCAGTTGAATAGGCTTCCAAGCAGCCATGAATTTCGCGGTGGCAACGAAGGCCTTGAAATGTTAGGCCGCGTTCACCATTAGCAACCCGCGGTTCAGTATCGCCAATACCACTGGTAACGTCAGGCCGCGAATTGTTGAAACGTTTCAAGAGTTAATTCGATCATATCAAACACAAACTTCTTTCGACCCATAGCAGCGACCCCAGATTAGGGGTGGAGCCCGCCTGTCGCAGTGGCGCTATTCGTTTACCACGCGGCTAAATGATTCGAATCGCCAACTATGAATGCAGCCTAATGATCACATGTGTTATTGAGATTCCACAGCTACCACCGTGCAGCTGCGGCAAGAGGGTGCAAACCAACAGCAAATGATAGCACAGTTCACAAACCTTCGTAGATTTGTCTTTTCATCACGACAGGAACGAGCAACTGAGAGATCCTACTGTAGAGTTTTTCCGTTATATACTCGTTGCACAAACTGTTCTCAAAGGAAATATAAAATCGATGTGTGGCTGAAACGTTATTGCTTAGCAATTTACAACTTATATGCCTCCATACAAGTTTACATGCTTGGTCTTCATTTTACATTTGGCTTCTATATACCTAACATGAAGCAGTTTCTCAGAGATGTTGCAGGTTTCTTTTCAAAATAAAAGCATGCCCTTCAAAATTGTGGTAACGACACCAATCTCTTTAGGCTCCAGACTGAAAGAAAGGTTACAGACATCCAAGTGAAAGAAAAAATCTGAATGGAGGATGTATTTACAGTCCTCATCATTACGTACTGTCGGGGCGGCACAGCCGCGCCGCACTGTGACGCGACAGCGGCTGCGGCTCGGTGACGGTGAATCAGCTGATTTCCATGGAATTCGGCTGCAAATTCCCACTTTTTCAGCTCTTCAAGCTTCTAAAGTGGAAGGTGAGTTATTCTGACCAATTTTGAATTGTACTGGCTCTGATTTCCTTTATTTATGTCGATTATTATGCTCTTTTCCTTGTATTTTGCCTTATTTCAGGCATTTATTCAAATGGCTTACATTCTTTCAGATTCATTCAGAGTCAGTACAATTCC